CTTTGCCGCGGGAGGACACCTGCCCTCGCAGCCTGAGGTGCTCCTGCCCGCGAGGGGAAGCCTGGCCAAGGCTGGGTTGGGGTGCGCTTGGCCGAGGGGTGCTGGGGCACGGGGGGGCCACGTCCTGGACACCCTCTGTTTGTTCCGCCAGGGTCAACACCAAAGTCCAGAGCAGCATCAGCAAGTGGCTTTTCAAAAGTTGTTAACTCTTCCTTCAGTGAGTCAGCCCGCTTAAGGCTGTAAAATGAGGTCTTCCCATATTTATGGAACATACCATAGTTGTCCAATGCATCCTGCTCCTTGGTGTCTCCAAAGAAGGAAGCATGACAGAAAGCTTGGGAAAGAGAATGGCCAGCCTCAGAAAACTCATCATCTAGTTCAAGCTTATGAAAACATCCGCTTATGCGGGTGATGTGGAGGCAAAGGAATACAGAGGCGATAACCCCCACCAGCTGTGTCCTGTTACTTTCCTGTCACCGCAGAGAGGGATTGGAGGGCAAATAAGATAGCGGGTGAATGAACTGACAGTTGCTGACCTACAGGTTACAAGCACTTTCTGTAAGCCTTCCTTGCGAGGAGCCTTTTCAGAATAAGCAGGGCTTCAAATTATGCATGGGCTCTGTGGGAATGCTTAATATAAATAGCACTAGCAGATTTTGGCTCCCTCTGGCTGATCCACCAATTTTGGTGAAAGCAGAGTAAGTCCTCTTTGTGTTTGCGTAGAGGATATTAGGGTATATGATTACTATCAGCAAGTTTGTTTACTGCTGAATTGAGCTGCATGGGGAATGCTCCAGAAGGTACGTGCAAGCTGCCCACTGAGTGTAAGCCATTGGCCTTGAAGTCGCATCTGTAGCACTGTCTTCCACAGTCCAGTCTGGGGTTGGAATGTATTTTTTCTCTTTAAATTCCAGGTGTTTAGAACATGATTAAATGCCAGATTCCAAACTATGCAAACTTTCCTAGAATGTATGCTTTTTACAGGGTAATTGGCAATTTACTCCAGTGTTCTTTCTGTTCTTCCTGTCTGGTAGTGTGTGTACAAGTCACTGGAGAGTAACGTTATTGTTGACACAGCCAAGTGGTTGAGCTGAGTTTAATGCCTCTGATCATTCAGTTTAAATCAACAGCTACCTGCATCTTAAACTTGAAGGCAGCAGGTCTTACACTTCCGTGATAGGTCTTAAAAATTAAAGCAGCCCAACAAACTGACCTCAGGCTGTACTTTCCTGCTAAAGATGACATTCTTTTATTTCTGCTTTTTGTTGAGTCTTAGAATGCAGTTGCCTTAGCTCTACCTGCACACATATCTGTAAGGCAGAAACATTTCTACAGGCAATTGGGAGGTATTGTTAGGAGAGAAGGAAGACCCCACGGCAGTGCAGTGGGATTTGGGGTGGTGAAGGGCAGCAGAACTCAGGCATGCGCTTTTCCCATCTGTCAGTAGATTCATTACTGCGTCTTGAGTTTGTGTGGAATTTAGTTTCTGCACAACAAGCCCCTGGAGCAAGTGGTGGTGTTGGCCTGTGGTCAGCTTTAAAACCAAATCAAGCAATGGAGTCTCCCTGGCCTTCAGAGAGAGTCAGTCTGTTCACGACTAGGGTCTTGAGCAGGAGCAACAGAAATATAAACCCTCAGCAGGAACCTGCATTATTTTCAAGACTTAAAACAGTAGGAGAGAATTTTGGGGGCCTACAGTTTGTCCTGGATTTGCTGATTCTTGGAGGGAGGCTGCTCTGAGATATTCTGAGATGTACCAGTCCATGTGAGGACTAACCTCACAGGTAATGTTGTGTACAGGTAGAGTGGTGAAAGGGTCTGTTTTGGTTTTGTTTCTACTTCACTTGTTTCTAATGACTCTTCAAAACCACCAAATGTTACCTGCCACCTGTCATTTCCCTATTTGTCTAGTATTCATCAAGAAAGAAAATGCTGACAAGTTCTTGGAAAGAACAAAACGTGCTAACTCTTTTTGGGAGGAAATGAAGAAAGGGAATATTGAAAGAGAATGCAATGAGGAGCGCTGCTCAAAAGAAGAAGCAAGAGAAGCCTTTGAAGACCAGGAGAAAACTGTAAGGATGAACTAATATGAAACACAGGTCTATATATTTCATGTTTAAAAAATAGTATTAAGGTCTCACAAGTTACTCTTAGTCACTTAACACAAAATAGTGGTTTTGACTGTGGTTGGAATTGCTAAGGCATAAACATATAGTAACAGTCTTAATTTAGTTCTTGCAAGGCCAGCCCACGTTAAAACTTCCATTCATTTACCTGTTTTGATGTTTAATTGCCATTATGAGGTATTTGACCTTTAAATGCTTTGATACTACCCATGTTGGAAATATGTTCGCCCTATCTGGGTGGCATAGCTGAACATCATGACTATGGTCAAGAGTTCTTAGGTGGAGAGACCATGGGAAAGTTGAGAAGGCAAATGCTGACATGGAACTTCATGGGAGAGTGTTGCCAAACTTAAGCAACATTGCCCTGCTTATCATTTTGTGGCTCTCTTTTTCAGTATCTGAGTTGACAGAATCTATACTGTAGACAGTTCTTAATGTTGCCTTAATTGCCCACATGGAATGAAGTTTGTATGTGTGACTTGTGTCACCTGCCCTACCCTGAAGACTGCTTAACTTCAGACAGAAATGCATTTTGTTCCGAAGCTCAAGGGAGAGTTAAAGAGATGGGACAGCTATGGGGGCTGGAGTCAGTAGAAAAGGTGATACTTGAAAACTTCAAGTGACTTGGTGGTGGAAGGGAATTGGGAACATCATCTGTAGCTATGTGGCTGTTAAGAACAGCCCTAAAGCTGGAGTTAAGGCCAGATTCATTTCACTTTAATGTTACTTGATGGCCATTGGAGTGGCCCTGAGATGATCGCATGAGGAGTCATGGGTGCATCACCAAGGTAATTCAGAGCATAAGGGTTGGCTGATCTCCAGCAGAACCAGCATAGCCTGTTCTGTCTGGTGACCAGATGTCACTGGGAAGGACTGACTTGGACAGACAGCATACCTGGAGTCCTCAGTGCAGAGGGAGAGAAGAACATAAACTAGACAAAATATTTTTAAACCTCAGGATTTCTAAAGTCCTGACTGATGGGACAGGGGGGGTGGAGACTGAGAATTTGGCATTACAGGAATATAAGTCAATTCAATCAAAACTGATGGAAAGATACAGTTATGCAAGAGATCAAGTGCCTTATACTAAGTGAGTCACACTGGGAAATCTCTAAGGAGTTTTTGAAAATGCGTAAGACTTGTTTCTGTAGAGCTGGGCACTATAGATGGATCATATGGTTCTAATTTATTAAATGGTAATAGCAGGCTGCAAGGCACTGTATGTGCCTGTAACTTAAACATTTAATAATTGTTAGCTGCAAATATTGTCTGTATGAAAGCCCTAATATTTTTTCTGAAGAATTCAGTAATTCTCATCTAACTCTTTCTGTCTCCGTTTATCCCCCTTTTCCCACACCGACCTGTAGGAGGAATTCTGGAACATCTATGTAGGTAAGAAACACTCTGCATTTGTTTAGAGAATTAAGCTTCTTTACTGCAAGGTTGAAAAGGATGCATCTCTGAAGGAACCACTTCCTGCTACCTTTCTTCCTCTTTTTTCACCATGGAACACCCTCACTTTGTGTTTCCTCTGAAGAAGGAATCTGATTTACTGCCTTGCTGTTGCTTGAGCCCAGTCACTTCATTTGCAGGCAAGGTTCAGCTGCTTCCAATTGCTGGGATGATCTTTGTGCTCTCCAAAAAAGAATAGTGGCCCTCTGCATGCAAAGGCCAGTGAGAAGCAGAAACTGGACGTGTGATTTGCAGGTCCGTTGCCCTCCAGAGGGGCAGCCCCGGATGGGGGAATTCAGGATGCAAAGAGTCATAGATGAGGGTGGTATTTAAATGCTGCAGCTAAAGCAAAGTTACTAAACTGTATTGCAGAGTCGCTTGCCAGTTTCATGTCACCCTCCATGCCAGAATGTTACTGATTCCTGTATTACAGAGCATTTTGTGGGATGTGTTTTCTACAGGACTGTTTGGCATTCAGTGAAGACATGCCAGTAGATTAGCAGATACTACCTACCAGTCTTTTCTGTTTTTTCCTAAAGGTTTGAGTTGTATTTATTAGGGTTCTAATGTTTGTAATCACTATGCAGGGACAGATTTTTAATGTATTAATGTCTGGTAATGTGTTCTTCTGAAAGTATGTGTCCGGCTTGCATGTTAGGAGGTGTACCTCAAAAATGTTGGCCAAAGACAGCTCAGCTTTGTCTTTTGGAATCTGCAGAAAATTGAAGTCAGTTGCCAGGAAGAAGATGCAGACTTTCACAATCCTCTAAGCAGGGGATGAATTCTGCAACCTATAGGCTGAAATTTCAAGCAAAGCCTGCGTCAGTGTTGCAGTGAACAGTGGAAAATTTCAAACCATTTTCTCACGAGAATACAAGCAGCAGAACATCAGTGCCAGTGCTCTTAGCGGAAATACCAATTTCATACATTTTAAACCACAGTCCACGAATGCTTTATTGGGGGTCAGAAGTACTGAAAACCACAAGCCAAGTTACTAGAACAATTCATTCTCACTTCCTTTTTTAGTAGAGGATTGTCACTGCTTTTGTGCAATATTGATATAAAACTCATTACCACAGTAGCAACTACAGTGTAGGAAAAAACTAAACAAGTATGGTTTCTAACAGTAGGATGCTGCTTAGCTAAGACCATTACAGAATGGAGCTCTCTGGTACTGCAGAGGAGACAGAAACCAGGAGCTGTGCTCCAGGCCTCGAGTCTGCCTTTTTTTTGGTAAGTGGTGGTCTCGCCTTCCCTCTGTTGAGGATGGACATCTGTCTTCAACACCTCTGTGGTGGACCACACAGACGCAGCATTTGGAGCGCTGTTGGTTTTGGTCATGTGCAGGTACAGAAGGGATATTGAGGTTGGGGGCAGTACACAAAGACCAGCAGATGTTCCCTGTGGCAGATAAAACTGCAGCAGATGAGGTCACAGGCCAGAGCCACCATGCAGGTGGCAAGCTGGATCATTAGGATGAGCAGCTTCTTGCATCTTGTCTTCTCTGTGAGCATTGCTGTTCTTCCAGCTGGTCCAAACCAGGGCAGAACAGGTGGTAAAACACAGGCATTTGAAGAGTGTGTTATCTAAAGCAACAAATTATTAATCAAGTGTCACTTCTCTGGATATCCTGCTTTTCTTATTGAACAGTGCAGAAGAGCCCAGCAGGAATCATGTGATGGAAACACATTATTTGTTACAGCAGGTCACTAGATGAGAGAGACCATGACAGTGAGCATCTGTACAGGAGTGAGTTGCCTTTGAGGGGATGGGAGAAATGCCTGCTATGTGGAATATGTCTCCAAACACAGTGCAGCCTCACTGTCCTACATGTAACTGAGTTTGTGAGATACGTGTGCCCGTGGCCCTGGGGTCAGGTCAGCCAGTTGTGTCCAGGTTACAGAAAGGAAGGAAGGCTGCACAACTACCTTTTGAATGTGTGAGATCTCAGCATAGATGTGGAGAGTGTGAGGTAAGAGCTAATTTTTTGAAGCCTAAGCTTATACTTCAAGAGGTGCGATGGGAATATTTTGGTACTCTAAACAGCACAAACCAGGCATTTGGCCTGCACACATGAATTTAGCAGGGCTTTGTAAGGCTTTTGTTTGTTTGTTTTACCTTCTGATTCATATGCTGGTGTCTTTTGCTTTAAATGAACATCACTGCAGGCAAAAGACATGAACAAGGGATGAGATGACCTCTAAAGAAATAAAAGTTGAGTCGTCATTATTTTGCAGAAATTGTAGGGAAATGCAGGAGGTTAATACCTTTAGACAGTGGTTGCAATGTAGAAATGTCCTGTCTATTTTTATAGCCTTCACTGTAAATTATATATACGCTGACCATGATGTATTTATTAGTTTATCTTCCTACATAAAAAGGCTTGTGTATGCACTGTCGTATAGTAGCCACCAAAAACAGATTGCAGAACTGAGGATACATATGTGAATCATTGCTGGTTTGCAATGATTGCATTTATACTCTTTGTTCCATCTGGAATGTGGCAATTTGCAGGACAGACATTTTGAAAGGAAGGATGAAAGATTGCTTATTAACACTAACAGTCCTTCAGAGTTCACTGAAAATGCTTACACTCTTACAATTTATTTTTGTTTGTTTGTTTCTGTAGATGGGAACCAGTGCAGTTCAAATCCTTGTCACTATGGTGGACATTGTAAAGATGGAATTGGTTCCTACACTTGCTCATGCTTGGATGGTTACCAAGGCAAGAACTGTGAATTTGGTAGGTTTCTGCTTTAGAGACTGTGACAGTGAATTTCCCAGGGAGCTGAAACATAGAGAGTTAACTCTTTCTTAACCAGCATTATTTGCTTCTTGGAAAAATACATAGAATAAGATGGCAGTCAACAGTGAGCTGGAGGACTGTGCCAGAAACACGAAGCCTTGCTGGCTCTACAGCTGGATAGAATTAGTGAATGCTCTGAAATTACACTTGCCCCAAAGAGACCCCTCTTTACATGTGCCTGAATCCCCAAAACATGATGATAAAAACTAAGCAGTATAGGACTCTTATAACTGATAGAAAAGAGCCTTTATTCCAAGCTCAGAAGTACAGCCTCCCTGCTCTGCTCTTAGCAGTAAAAACCAAAGAAAGCAGATTTCGGTAGGCAATTCAGAGAATTTTTCAACATTGCAAGGAATCATTTTTTGCATATAAAACCTTCCCGAGTCTCACTTCTGTGGCATACATCTACTACCCTAATGATGTCACTGGGTCATGTGTTGGTAGGCCAGAATTAAGAGTGCAGGGTGTGGAACTGAACTTCAGACACAGGACCGAGGAGAGTCATGGGGAGTTGAGTTTTTTAAGGCAGGAAGGAGGAATTGTGTGAGGGTGTAACAGTATCTGGATTACTCTGTTAGTGGTTTATTCAGTTCCACTGTCATTTTGTCTCTGCTTTTTTAAGCTCACCATGACACAGCCACTGGGACCACTTGGGCTTGCCAAGTATGTTTCATGCAGTAGATGTGACTGCTTTGTAAGACATAAGCTAACGTTAGCCACTCATATTATTACTAAGAAGTGCTTCAGGTGTTTTACAGATGGAGATACAGATCCTGTTTAAAGAGTACAGTTTAATTTGGTGAACTTCAAGATCTTCTGTGAAGTCACTGTTTATTTACAGTTTTTCTCCAAATATCTTTATAGTCATACCAAAGTACTGCAAAATAAACAATGGTGACTGTGAGCAGTTCTGCAGCATCAAGAAAAGTGTACAGAAGGATGTTTTGTGTTCCTGTGCAAAAGGGTATGTTCTAGCAGAGGATGGCAAACGCTGTGTTTCATCAGGTATGAAGCCATGTAATAAACTAGTAGCAATGGTGGTGAGACTTGTTTCACAGTTAAAGAATGTCTTTTGAACCATCAGATTTTACATGACATAGATTTAACACTGAAGCCAGCTGATTTGTATTTTCAAAGCCTTCCATGAGGAAGGTGATGTAATGGACTTGTCAAAATCTAGCTGATCTGGAATCCTTTGCAAGATGCCTCTCACAGAATTACCTGAGTAAACTCTGCTGTTAACAGGAGAAGAGTGATTGCAGTTATATCTCATTCACTTAAACACTTATATTCCATATAAAATAGCAGCTTGCAAAAACTTTTCTACTTTAGTTTTCAGTTAATCTAATCAAATAGTAACTGATCACATTAAATAATTGCAATTAATGCTATTTACATTTGTAGATTTTTGTTGTATTTCAACAAACCTGGGGAGAGGGATAAGTCAACCATATACTCATGATGTCAGTTTTTATATCGTTTATAACTAATAATAAATTGCTGTTATGAGCCATATTATTCCTAAAATAAAACAATTCACTCAGTTTCCTAATTAAGATGGTTTTAGTAAGAGCAAGTACATGAATATAGCAATGTGAGCAATTGATGTTTTAAATACTTTGAAACAGTCCAGAGACTGAACCTCTGGACAAGTTTTAGGACTACAAAATGGTTTTTATTTTCCAAACCATCTGGTCTTCCTTTGTTGCATCTGCCAAATTTTTGCTAGTGTTTTCAAAAATTGTGAGACGGTGTTGTCAAGGAGTTTCCTCTTGTGTTGGTGTTTCTGTCCATCTCCAATTCTAACGTTCTTGTCTTTACAGTAAAGTATCCTTGTGGAAAAGTTTATGTGAAAAGAAAAAAAAGGTCTTTTTTTTTACCCATTGATAATGGCAATGTAACTAGTGATCAAGATGGCCCTCTCACAAATGAAACAACTTTGGAGGAGGACATTATTATTACCACAGAAAGCCCAACCATCCCTCCTGGCAATGGAACAAGTGGCAAGACTCCGTATGTCAATACCAGGATAGTAGGTGGTGATGAGTGTCGTCTTGGTGAATGTCCATGGCAGGTAAATCTGGTATTTGTGCTCTGCATGTAAGCAGAACACGTTTCTGAGGGGAACTGTGCAATTGTTCATTTAACCTGTTTGCCTTCTGGATGTTACCCATGCGATATGCTGTTTGTAGCTGGAGGTAGCTGAATCGTGTGAACCGAGGCACTTAGATGTGCTGTTTTGCAAACTGCGGCCTTAAAATGTCAAAATGAAAGGCTTTGTGCAATTTTAGATGGTGTTGCTTAACTTGTCACTAGAGAGGGCTTTTGCGTCATGCTGGCCTACCAGTGTCACTTTTGCAGGTTGTGTTCCAGTTCTGTCTGATAGCAGTCCATTTAGCTAGTATATCTGAGACCTTATCAGGTAAAGCATGCATTTGCTTCACAAATACATCTTCATATCTAAGTTTTTCTATTGAGTTTGGACCAGCCAAAATGAGTTTATTCAGAACACTAAGGGCGGGGTGAAACAGGAACAGAATTTGGACAGGAATTCTTTGGGGTGGTAAATCCAAGGGATTGAAGTGATCTGGAGGCAGCACTCTCCCTGCTCAGTCAGTCAGTGTCTTGTTCCTAAAGGACATTACTGAGCACTGTGAGTGAGGTGACATGGAAGCCAAACGTGTACATCAGGTAAATGCAGTTGACTCTGTAGCAATACATGCCAATCTGTAGCATATACATGTGTGTGTCCAATAGTAGGAGACACCTGCAGAGTAGTACATGTTGTAGTAATAAGCATATATATAGTGTGCGGAGAAGTCAATTACCTATTTATAGCTCATTGAAGTTAAACTGCTCTAATTTATTCTGCACTGACCTGTTCTCTTTTGCAGGCTGTTTTGTTAAACGAGGAAGGGGAAGAGTTTTGCGGTGGAACTATTTTGAATGAAATTTTTGTACTTACTGCAGCTCATTGCATGAACCAATCTAAAGAAATCAAAGTTGTTGTTGGTAAGTGGTTACTACTGTGATGTTTCAGCATGTGTTGCAGGCTAATGCTCTCTGCTTTAAATCTTCTGTGAGATGTATTCATGTTACTTTGTTATGGTTTGTTACTTTTTTGCCTTGTTCTGCTTCTTATAATTTCTTGTGATTGTGGGAATCCTGCTTTGTAACAACAGGGGCATCTGATGTGGAAGGTGATAGTGGTGCATCCCCTTCTTCTTTGCAGCTAGTTGGAAGTAATTAAGAACAAATGTTCTAGAAGTGTTGGCTAGCATTGTGTTCATCAGAGCAGTGCTTTTTCAGAAAGCTTATCATTCCTGACACATCTGAAGTATACAGATTTGTTTCTGCAGGAACACTCAGGAAAGCTATTGCACATTGACTAGAGGAAGAAGAAACGAACTCAAATTATAGCTGCTTCACTTCTGAGATTTGATACTAGATCAACACAACTTTACATTTGTACTGTTCTAGTCTTGACCCAGACCAGTTTCTCTTCCCTGATAGAAGCCAGGCTCAAGCTCCTGTGAGAGCTTCCACCCAAAGGTGCATTAGTTTAGCTGAATAAGTTTATGCCTTTATGTAAACAAAAATCTCCATAGACAGAATCTCGAAACCGAAACTGATCCAGGTGTTGCTAATAAATACTGCAATAATTTTTTTACGGCTTACTTGTATGGTATAAAGGCTTAGGCAAAGTGTTAGGAATGGGTATACTACTCTCCTCCTTTATTGAGGTTATTCTTAATTTCTTATACTATCTCCATATTAATGACCTTTTTAATTATCTTGTACAGGTGAAGTGGACAGAGAAAAGAAAGAACAGTCTGAAACGATGCATACTGTGGATAAAATACTTGTTCACTCCAAATACATTGCAGAGACTTATGATAATGACATAGCCTTAATAAAGCTGAAGGAACCGATAACATTTTCGGAGTATGTTATTGCAGCATGCCTCCCTGAAGCAGACTTTGCTAATGAAGTTCTGATGAACCAAAAATCTGGGATGGTTAGTGGCTTTGGGCGTGAATTTGAAGGTGGACGACTATCCAAAAAACTGAAAGTGCTTGAAGTCCCCTATGTTGATAGGAACACTTGCAAGCAATCCACTAACTTTGCAATAACAGAAAACATGTTCTGTGCTGGTTATGAAACAGAGCAAAAAGATGCTTGTCAAGGAGACAGTGGAGGTCCTCATGTAACCAGATATAAGGATACTTATTTTGTTACTGGAATTGTTAGCTGGGGAGAAGGATGTGCAAAGAAAGGCAAATACGGTGTCTATACCAAACTGTCCAGGTTCTTACGCTGGGTAAGAATGGTCATGAGACAAAATTTGTAGTGGTGTCACTCTTGATCCTTCAGTTAGAAACAAGGTGCAGTTTCTGTGATGGAAGCTATTCTTTTATTTTCAGCCACATCTGCTAAACTTGTTTGGAGAGCTGATTCCTTAAAGTTATGCTGCTGCTTCTTTTTGGTTTATTCCTGGCTTTAAGCATGTATATGTGGACTGTTTGGTATTGTTTTGAATTTGTACAATGAGGGGCTTTCCCCCAACAAAATGGCTGCTCAGTGGGGTCTTGTGTTTGCTTGTTTGGTTATTTTTATATTGCCATTTTGGTTCCTGTCTGTGCTTCCACCAGAGGCTCCTGGACATCAGCCTCCACCAATCGTGATGAAAGTGGGAAGAATGGGACTTCAGTTAATCCTCATATTGCAGCCAGCTGGCTCAGTAGGGAATTTGTAACTACTAGAGCTGTTTAGCATCTACCTGTAGATGTATTTAGAAAATTAAGGAAGCAGGGAAGCTTGCTTGCTAAAAGTTGAGACACAAGTTGAGTATTCAACATGTGTTAACCACATGTTCCACAAAATTGCCTGCTTAGGTCACAGCAGCTAATTAAAATGGGGTTTAGCTTTATGTGGATTGTACTTCACTTTAATTTTAACACTTCTGTTCTGCTCATCAAAAAAAGCGTGCATGTTCACTGTTTTCTGTATCATGTTCTGGATTGTGTACTGTTGAGGATCAGAAAGCTCCTTGCATGTGTACTTGTTCTAGGTGTTTCTGTAAGGTGCAATATTGATGTACACCAGCATTTAAAATAAAACATTCTTTCTTTTTTGTTCTTTTTTTTTTAATTCCTTCCAGTCAGTTTACAAGTATTATATGAAGACAGAGTCTCACTTGAGAGTGAACGTCCATAAACAAATACGTGTGACAAATTTAAACCTACCTTATATCAAGGCTCATGAAGAGGTAGAGAAGGGAGAGGGGGTTAATTAAAAGACTTTCACTGGCCTAGAGGTTCATAAATGGCGTTAGATGCTAAGATACTAATTTTCTTAGAAAGAGGCTAACTCAACACATGATTTCCCAAACATAGTTTACTCAGGTACTATGATACGATCTGTGCTGTAAGGTTTCCAAGAACATTCTAGTATTTTTTTGTATGTGGAGTAGCATTCCTCTGTATATTCTTCTTTAAAACTTCTCAGCTTCAGTCTAGTTACAGAAATTATGGTAAAATTTACAATGGAAGGGATTGCTGAAAGTGCTCTGGTCAATCCCCATACTCAAAGCAGAGCTAACATCAAAGTTAGAGCAAGTTGTGCAGGGTCTTGTCCAGGCAAGTTTTGAAAAACTTCAGATGCAGAGATTTTGTTACCCTCTGGGCCACCTTTTCCTGTGCTTTAGCACTCTCATGGCTAAAATTTCTCATGTCCAATTGAAATTTTCCTTGTTGCAACCTCTGACTACTGCCTGATCTTTCTGTGGGCACCTCTGGGTAATGGTTGGCCTTGTCTTCACTGTAATCCTCGTTTAGGCAGTGGAAGACTGCAGTTAGATCCCCCAGCTGTCCCTGGCCAAACAAACCCAGACCCCTCAGCCTGTTACTGTGCATCATGTGCTCTAGGCTCTAACCGCCCTGATGGCCTTTCTGAGGCTCCTCCAATCTGTTATGCTCCCCTGTTGTCTGAGGAACACTGAATTTCACCAGAGACCTCCTACTTACCTTTTGGGGTTTGAGCTGGTACTGGCTAGTCTCATACAGCAGGTGCTGTGGGCAAACCAGGCTGACAAACTAGAAATGCAGCTCTGCACAGCATCAAGGTATTGCTGCATTTGGCAGTAAATGTGGGTGGGAAGGACTGCAGGTCAGTTACCCTAGCTTGATGGTCTCCACCTGCATAAACCCTCAGTGAACCTACTTCAGTGTTAGTTCCCTGACTTCTGTCCTCTGTATTCCTGTTTGTACCTTCTAATCCTTTGTCCCAGGTTCACTGGTAGCATGCCCTGTGCTCCATCAGGGTGAAGCATCCCTCTTCAAAGGGATAACCTCAGGCCTAGGTGCTACCCAAATCCGATTTACTCATACTAAGGGCATTCTTCTACTTCAGTGAAGCTTAAGGATGGAGGTAAAACTCAGACTGGACTATATAGGTGTTGAGATTACCTAGAGGAGGACATCCCTCTGGCAATGGTGGTAGTCGCTGGGTTTTACTAGCCAAGTAGCACCTTGAGAGCAGACACAGCTGATTTAACAGATGAGCATGAAAGAGGGCGATGAAAGTCCATGTTTGTGTGTGTGCAACATGACTGGGCTTAGAAAAGAAGTGTCATTATTCTGCAGAGTATGAGAGGCTTTGTCCTTGGACTTCGCAATCAGAGTTTATTTGTCTTTTACAAACAAAATTGGTTCCTAGAGAGCCTTTTATCCTGTGCCATGGTGCCTAAGGCTCAAGGGCTTCTTATTCATTCCTCATTCTGTAACAGTGTCTCTGCCATGCTGAGAGGACATGAGTAAAACATCTGCTTGCATCTTGGCTTCTTACCAAAGCCCATAACCAGCTGTAGGACCTACAATAAAAGAAAGAATTAAAGCACACTTTTTTAATGTAGACTAATTATTTGGGGGTAATTTCACATAACAAAATTTGAACGGCTTGTAAAATCCAGGAAAGAGGTACAGCACACAGCTGCTGAATAAACTGGTGGATTTTAAAATACCAGGACTCCTCATGGCAAGCAAACACTGCTGTCTTTGGCAAGAGCTGGCATTTACCATGGGTAGTGGAAGGAGATGCTCTAAGCTATCTTCTAGTGCTCAGGCTTCCTCAGCCTTCAAGGAAAAACCAGTCCTGGGAAGAAAAGGAAGAAAGGAAGGATGTTAAGTAGAGTGCAATTGCTTTGCAGCTTTGAAAAGGACTGATATGAAGAATAAAAAGGTAGGACATTGGTCAGGCCTAGTCCAAGATGATATATCTGGGCAAGAGACTCTTGTACATGAGGCCCTGGGTTTTGAAAAAATGAGGCTTCTTCACAGTAAAATAGAGAAAGCCTGAGAGGAAACATAGCAATAGCCTTCATGTGTACAAAAGCTGACTGCAGAGATGTAGGAACTAATTACATCTTCATGTCTGTGATGATAAAAAGACATAACACATCTCGGTTGCAGCGAGAAAGTTTCAGGGAGATCCCAGGGAAAACCGGCTAACACTGTGACTAGAAAAGCCCTGTAACAGATTTTGTCTGGAGGGCAGTGAAGTCTGCAGTGTTGGCAGTCTTTCAGAGCAGGAGAGGTAACTAGTTGTCAAGCGTGCAGCATGACAGGGTCTGCCCTAGGGAGTGAGTGTGGACAAGCTGGCCTTCGTTATGGTATCCTGCAGTATGTCAGGAAAACACACTTCTGCAGGTGCAGTGTCCAACTGGAAGCAATTTCCCAGAAGGCTTCTTAGATGGTGTCTTGCCCAAACGTGCCAAGAATAATAGAGGTAAACTTGATCCCTTGTTGGCTCAGCAAGCTGGACAAGGTGATCCTGGAGGTCTTGCCAGTCCCTGTTTTCTGTGTTTTCAGGTGAGCAACACAAGCAAAGGATCACTGTTACAGTCATGCATTATGACCTATGCTAGCACAGTAATAACAAGCAAGGTTTTCCTTCCTCTTTACTGCTCCCTGACACAGGTGACTCACATGACAAGATTGTCTTCCATAGGCAGGGCCCCAGACCACAAGGTCCAGTCAACAGCTGTCCCCATGGAGTGGTGTGGGTGAAAATTGATGCATTTGTGAAAGTATGGTCTGTCCTGGTGCTTGTGACAGAGACTGGATTTTGTGTGTGCCAGAGGTGCCATCCAGCTCGCTGCATCCGCACAGGATACCTGCTTACCAGCCCCACTGGATTCAAAGGCTTCACCCACGAGCATAACAATCAATTTCAGCCTATCTGAAGCACTTCAAACTACAGTGGTTTGGAATAAAAGAGACCAAAACTTTTTGCAAAAGCTTACTGGCTTAACTCAGAAAAAAGACTGAATTTTCTGTCTCGTTTTCTCTTGTTCTGATTAGCTCCATGCTTTATTTGTTTCTTAAGGAATTACCAGAGCTGTGAGGCAACATCTTTGCAATACTCCTATTAAGCTCTGCAGATCTGGTACCCTGATCTACTCCTCACTTCTGAGATGCTTTCCTGCTTCTGCACTGCTTGTGGGAAGCACAAAACTCTGGCTATGGTTGTTCTGCTTTCTTTGGGGCATGGGCAACAGCCAGATCACTAACTTTATCTCCATGCTGCCTGGCTAGTAAAGCTCTTTTGGCGAGGTGTCATCAATATTTCCTGAAGATGTAGAGCCACCCACAATGGACAGGGAGAAAGAGAATAGCCACAGACCATGGTCCTGCAGAGGAAATCACCAGCTGGCAGCTGGTATCTGGAATTTGGGTAGCATAACCAAGTTTAACCATGCAGCCACAATGTTATTCTACTGAGGCAGAACCTGTCCCGGTTTATGGACTCCCATCTTCCTGAGGAGTCTGAGATATACAGGTGTCACAGCCTCAGTGGCAAACCCAGTTCCATACTGCCCATGCAGGAGAGAGGGGCTTTGCCGACACAAGGTGCCTGCAGGCGATTGGGGTGGCACTGGTGCAGCACAGTGGCGTTTTTCTGTTTGAACATTGTCCTATGGTGACTTTGAGCTCAGGCTTTGCTCTTAGAGGTTTTGTTTTCTCGTGAGTTAACGACCTTTGCACTGTAGTGTTTCTCATTTAGCAGCTGTCCTAGAGCCCTGCAGAGAAACCGGTGGGAGACACCTGGTGAGCTCAGAGGATGGCAGTGGCAGGTGGTTGCAGGACAATGTGGCTTCTTCCCATTGTCCTCCTTCTCCTTCAGATGGTGCAGACAGGTACAGCCTTTGCTTTAACTTGACTTTGTGCTGCTTTGCCTAAACCATGCAGGTAATTATTTGACGTTATTTGTGCTTTGTGGACCAGGGTGACATGAGTGAAAATGTGGTAGCTTTGCTTTGTCACATGCCTTGCTCCCATTGTCTGCTGCAGTGCAGTAATATCCAGGGCTGAGTCACTAGGGGAATACCATTTTGGACTGAAACATTTGTGTCAGTGTAAAACAAGGGGTCAATATGCAGGGCTTTCAAACTGACAGCACAAACAATGTGCTTTTCTTCATGTCCTCAGGAAATGTGATTATTAAATAATCCTTACTATCCATTCATAAGCTATTGGGTGGCAAAATGAACCCCGCAAGGTTTAACAGAGCAGAGGGGGATGTGAACCCTTCACCATCACCCACTGTGCTTGTCTAAGTCTCAACACAAACACCACATCTCCACTTCAGGAAGCGTCCCACCTGTCTTTGAGGTTGGACCCTGAGATGCTTCTCTACAGAGTAAGTCTGTGAATCATACTGCAGACGTGATGCATGCCTTGTTGTTCAATTTTTCTGTAAAAGTCATTTGGTGATTACAGAGGGCTTAATTGGAGACAACTGGACAAACACCTGAGTCATCCATATTCCAAGAGATGAGAGTTAGAGGGAGATTTTGACATCCCAGAGGTGAGGTGGGAAAGGTACTTAGTGGGACATGGGGTGCCTGAGAGTCTTCAGAATGTTTCAATAATAATTTTCTCATAAAAAACACATAGAAAGCAATTTTGAGTGCACTCGTCTACATTTTAATCAACAAACTAAAAGTGCCTGACAATACTAAGACAGTAGATGACTTTAATAAAAGTAACTATAAAATGACAGTGCTCATGGAGGAAGTAAAGAAAAAACCCAAGAGAATAAAGATTAATGTTTATCTTTTAACAGAGAAAAAGATCAGGCTACTTCTGAAAAACCCCACAGAAACCCTAATCAGAGGTTCTTAACCTTTCTTTCACCACAGACCCCCTTTAAATACTTTTTGTGGCTGTGGACCACCAAGTCTTAATTCAAGATTTAAAGCACTAGACTGCATCAAATATTTATTTCAGTTTTCTCATTAAGTGTCTTCAGATTTGGAGAGAAGGGGAAATGTTAATCTGTTAATGCACACACTCATAATATCTTTTTTGCAATAGTTCCAGATGAATTTAAAATAATGTCATCAACACTCTTCTTGCTCAGATGGCCCATTTTATGGTATTTTAACGTGCTAATTCTGAATTGGATGCCAATTTTTACATTAAAAATTGAGGAAAAGCTTTTACAATTCTTCTCACCTCCCCCCTTGTTTGTCTATGTTCAGTGACCATATATTTTTGTTTACGGGTCCAGGGCTACCACTTGGAGGAACAGATTTCAGCCCCATCGTGGCCTTAAAGAGAGCTGTTGGATTAAGAAAATGTCTTTAAGAGAAAAAACACCTAGTTAGAGTGGGTCCTACCAACCATACTA